GAGCCCCATGCACCCGAAGACACGAAGCATATCCACTAGGGGCTTCTTTCCACTCCACTTCTCCATAGGGACCCAATTCTGACCTCCCACATGAGTCAACACCCGGTTCTTGATGACGGTAGCATGACGAATAGCGAGGGGGGCAGAACCGCAAGGGTAGACCCGAGTCCACCAATATCGTTCTCCCGCCCTTTATGATGGTCCGGTTCGCTCTGTCTTCCACGCCGTTGGACTGAGGGGTGTAGGCCGTGGTGAGCAGCTCATTGATGCCGTGCCGCTTCAACCAGCTCCGGAACTCCGCTCCCAAAAACTCACCACCACGGTCCCTACAAATCGCCTTCACCCGCTTGCCGCTCGCTCACTCCACCATGGGCAGCCACTCTTCAATGATGACCCTTGCAGCATCACTCTTCTTTGCAAGTGGAAAAGACCAGGTGAGCCTTATGTAATCATCCACCATAGTCATGGAATACAGGGCCCCACCATCTCCCTTTACCTTCATGGGCCCCACAAGATCCACATGCACGAGCTCCACCGGGTCACTTGACTGTCCCACCGCCGAATGGAAGGGAAATCATGAGAACTTGCTGGTCAAGCAAGTCTCACAAGAGCCCACCTCCTTGGGCTCCCCCTTTATCCTCAGCCCCTTTACTCTTTCCTCCTTACAAAGGTGCTGTAACTGAGGTAGCGCCACGTGGCCAAAGCGACGGTGTGCGGTGAGCCAATCCGTCTCACCCGTAGTAGGAGTTACACTTGGTAGCGCACCCCCCCCCCATGCACAAGCAGCCCACCATCACTGCCATCACCACCTCCTCCTCTGGTTACGTGGCTTGCATGCCCTCCTCTTACAGCTTCTGCAGCCAAGTGTGCAGCTGCCTCCTTCCATGGCAGCACCGGTATCTCCCACAGGGACCGGTGCATGTCCTTGCCGCCTCGGAGGTCCCACAACACGCGCCCATCCAGAGTTGCCTTGAACACCTTTGTGCCCATCATCTCCATCTTCATCCCTGCCTCACTCAATGCCTTGGTAGAGAGAAGGTTGGCACATAGTCCACGGACAAGAAGAACACGTTTCAACCCCACAAGCCTCCCATCCACACCCATAAACATGGCTCTCCCCTCGCCACGCACGGGTACAACTTGGCCGGTGGCTGAAACGACGGTGGCTGACTTTGATGGCCTGACTTCATCCAGCAGATCCTCTCGGTTGGTCATGGTCATGAAGGCTCCTGTGTCGATGACCCAATGGGAGGAACGGTGAAGAGTACAACCATGTCCTCAGAGCATGCTTCTCCTACATGGTAGAACATGCCTCCATGTCCGCCGGCACCTCCATCGCCCTCCTCACTGCCCATGCCTTCTCCCATAGCTCCATGAACACCCTTAGAGCCTTCAAGTGATGGCTGACCAGGCCTCCAACCATCAGGTAGCTTGACACGCTTAAACCATGGGTGACCTTCCACATGGCAATACCAACACTTGCCGCCACACCGCTTGCCTCCCTTATTGCTACGCTTCCCTGCCGGATACTGCTCCCCTACAAAGCCTTCCTTGGCCTTGCCTTTCTTGCTGCCACGTCCCTTGAAGCCTTTCATGCCGTAGGCAGAGCCTCCACCTTCACCGGCAGCGGCAGTCAGCTCCTTCCTCCGAAACTCCTCTTGAAGGACTTGAGCACAGATCCACTCAAGGGAGCATGAGTCCTTCATGCCATTGATATTGACCGCCAAGGGGCCCCACGACTCCGGCAGCAGGGAGAGAGCCTTGTAGCACTTGATCTTCTCAGGGTAGTCCACACCAGCAGCAGAGAGCTTCACATAGAGGTCCCGGAGTTGATCGAACGCTCCTTGCACGACATCATCCTCGTTGATCTTCACCGCATGGAGTTATCGTTCGAGCACCACCACCATCACTTCGCTGCTCGGGGCATGGACATCCTTCAATATTTTCCATGCCTTGGGACCGCACTGGATATCCTTGATGAGATGCTTGATATGGTGCAGCTGGTTGGATGAGAGGCATTGAGAGAAGGAAGAATCCATCCTTGGATCCGCGATCCCATTCCTTAGTCGCTCCTTCGCTCGCAGGCCTCTTCAATTCTCCATCCATCACTTCAAGAAGCCCATAATGGTTAAACAGGGGTTCCATCCTGAAGTTCCATGATGCCCAATCCTCCCTAGAGAACTTCTCTAGGTTGAATGCCTTCACATCATCCTTGGCAGGTGTTGAAACGGATGCTATTGGTGCAGATCCGCCTGCAACGCCTCTTCCTGCTTCCCCAGCGCCTCTCACGCCACCACTGCCACTAGGACCAGCTGGAGCAGAACCTTCAGCTTCCATATTGACCCAGGAAAAGAGAAGAACCGCTCTGATACCACTTGTTATAGTCTAGGTCCCACTTAGGGGTCGCGGATGCCCTTGAAACCGCCTAAGCAGAATCTGATGACTTCAAACCGCCTCTGTTCAAAACGCCGTCACGATCAGCTCTGATAACATACGAGGCTAAAACTTGAACAGAAGTTAGCGTCAGGTGTGTGCTTTCCAACGGTATATTGATTGCTTTCATCACAGGTGTATGCGCTACGCAGTGAATGAAAACAGAAGCTCGGCTGAAAACGTATAGTTTCATTGATGCAAGAGGTTAGTACAACATTGCCTAGGGGACTCTTAAGGGGTTGGGACCATCCTGGGAACTCAGAGAAGGTTGAGTACTAGGGGAGAAAGGCTAGAGAAGGATGGGAAATGTCTTATCCAGGTCAGCAAAGCCAACCACACTTGGATGTTCAGAGTTGTACTGAAGGCTACCAATAGTGAGTCAAGCCAACCATGAGTCAGCTTGTCTTCCCACTTGCACCCTCTTGCAAGCTGCTTCTAGGAAGACCACACTTCTCAAAAGGAGGGTGGTAGAGTCCCACTTGACCACCTGTACTTCTTGTCTCATTCTCTGTCCCTGCACCATTGGCATGACAACAATGAAAGGGTGGCAAGGGAAATGCTGCCAACAGTGCATTATGAGTACGGAACAGTAACTTTCGACAGCTGTCACGTACTGCTCAGATGCTGGGTTGTCCTGAAACTTGGTGACCACCTGCAAAACACGGCAAAGGACTGCCACACCGATTTGCAGACCAATCAGAGCTTGGTAGATGAGTCAGCAGCCGAAAGGGTTAACTTGGGTGTTACCAAAAAAGAGTAGCACACACTTCCGGGATGCCATAGGTTTTGAAACAAACAATATTGCCATGCCTTGTAAACTCCTTCAAAAATTCTGAAACTTTGAGGGTCTGAAGAACACATGTTGAAGCACCTCCCCACAAAATTCCAGAAGCTGAGCAGGCTTGTAGGCAGAATGGGAGTGCGATGACCGTGCCTCTGTAGTGCTTTGGCACAACAAGGACGACCTCTCCGAGGTCGCCATTGTCGATGAGGAACTTGTTCCGGCGGGTTCAGAAACATGAGCTGAGAGCACACTAAGTAGGCTTTGTTCTGCACAGGGGTGTAGGGTATACAACACGACAAGGGGGAGAGAAACCAGCAGTTTTGATTGTGGCCGTGTGACCACAGGATGGTGATTAGCAACACTGTGTGAACTTGCCACGTCACACCCTCCTGCATCCGCCACGTCCACCAACAACCCTCCCTACTTGCCACGTTACAACCCCCTACCCCAAGCCACGTCACCCCCCACCCACCTGACACGCTTCGCTTCATCATGCGCCGCTCCCGTGTACCCTTTCAAACTGCCACGTCATCCCCAACCCTCACCTTCCACCACGTCACACACTCCTGCATCCGCCACATCCACCAACAACCCACCCAACTTGCCACGTCACCCTCCCCCACCCCAAGTCACGTCACCCCCCACCCACCTGACACACGTTGCCTCGTCATGTGCCGCTCTCTTCTACCCATCCAAACCGCCACCTCATCCCCGACCCTCACCTTCTGCCACGTCACACCCTCCTGCATCCACCACGTCCACCAACAACCCGCCCCACTTGCCACGTCACACCCCCCTACCCCAAGCCACGTCACCCCCCACCCACCTGACACGCCTCGCTTCGTCATGTGTCGCTCCCATGTACCTTTTCAAACCGCCACGTCATCCCCAACCCTCACCTTCCGCCACGTCACACACTCCTGCATCCACCACGTCCACCAACAACCCGCCCCACTTGCCACGTCACACCCCCCTACCCCAAGCCACGTCATCCCCCACCCACCTGACACGCCTCGCTTCGTCATGCGCCGCTCCCGTGTACTCTTTCAAACCGCCACGTTATCCCCAACCCTCACCTTCCGCAACGTCACACCCTCCTGCATCCGCCACGTCCACCAACAACCCGCCCCACTTGCCACGTCACCCTCCCCCACTCCAAGCCACGTCACCCCCCACCCACCTGACATGCGTCGCCTCTTCATGCACCGCTCTCTTGTACCCATCCAAATCGCCACCTCATATGTAGCAGGTGCTCCACGACGCAGGCCGAGCTGAGCAAACATGGCGTACATCTCAGGCCGTAGCGCCAGGAACTCCTCCTGTGTAACAAACTGCTCGTGCTCCGCACTTTCACCTAGGGCACCCATGAGATTGGGAAAAGAGTGTGAAGAATCCCCCCTCTGGCCAAGGGGATCAACGTCTTCTGCAGCAGTCCCGTGTGCCCTCACACTATCACGCTGGTGGGAAAAGGGCAGCTCAGGGAAGGGATTGGCAGAAGTGCTTGGCTGATGCCCGAGAGAAGGACCGGCGAGGGGGGAGACCGCCCTGTCCCAGACAAGAGACGCGTGGAGCTGCCGATATGGGAATGAGGGTGAGGCAAGTGGGGAGTGCGTGACGTGGCCTGGTGGAGGGGATTCGGATTCCTCTCCTCTTGGTGCGCCGGGTGCTGTAGCAGCGACTATAGACGGGCCGGAGTATGGCATGTAGAACCTTGGGGCTCCTGTGGATAGCGGTGTAACACTCGCTCTTCCGGCCCCCTTTGTTAGCTGCATCCGTTGCACGCTTATCGGTGGCCCAATGCCTGTAACACGAGGGGCTGAGATTTATAGGGAGCAGGAGCACAAAGTTGGAGTCGATTACGTTCAATACAGCAGCACACATGCATGCATACGAGCAGCGGATTGAGTCTAAATCGGGTTTAGCAGGGTACTGTTTTGTAACAAGAGGCCTTACCTTGCTTTGGAGACTCGTCGACCTTCTCCTTCCCTGCTAGGGAGAAACAATGTGAAGAATGGTGTTAATTGGCACGGTTGAGCAGAGAGTAATACAGCCTCGCCATGTGTATGGGCCATATTGCTTACCTCAATACTATCCCTTCGGTTTTTTTGCTGCCTACGCCTTCTCGTTGCCACCTTTCCGCGGGGTGCTATGGCGGCCGCTTCGACGTTTACCGGCAGGTTCTTTCTTGCCGGTACCCACTGGAACCCCTTTGGCGCGGGCACCCTTTCCTTCTCCATCCCCTTTTGTGCCTTGGCTCCCTTGTTTTTTACCACCCACTTCAGTTTCGACCTTCACTTTACGCGCCTTCAATTTGCCCGCTGCTTCGCCTCGCGGGGCGTCAACTGCCCCGCGTTTTTGGGAATGGTGAGTCCGGCCCCCCAGCTTCCCCGTACCACTCCCCCGTCTGCCTCGCCCGCCCCGTCCCTTCACTGCCGCCACATCCTCCTCCTCTTCCTCTTCCGCCCCTTCCTCCTCCTCCTCCTCTTCCTCCTCCTCCTCTTCCTCCTCCTCCTCCTCCTCCTCCTCCTCCTCCTCCTCATCCTCGTCGTCCCCCTCCTCCTCCTCCTCCTCCTCTGACTCTGCCTCCTCCTCCTCCTCATCCTCCTCATCCTCGTCGCCCCCCACCTCGTCGTCCTCCTCCTCCTTCTCCTCCTCCTCCTCCTCCTCCTCCTCCTCCTCCTCCTCCTCCTCCTCCTCCTCTTCGTCCTCCTCATTATCATTCTCATCTTTTTCCTCCTCCCCAACATCCGCGTCCTCCTCTATTGTGTGATGCAATCATATGCATTCACGTCTGTCTGCCTCCCATCATATGTTCGTGCGTTGCATGCGTGGTGTGAGCGTATGCAAGAATTTGTGTTTTGTGCGGTTTGGTTTTTCTGAGTGTGTGTGAATGTTATTTGGCTTGAGCAGATATCTGAAGTGACTCCTCTGCTCAAGAGATTTCTGACGAACCAAGTATCGCTTCAATCGGAGCACGAACAAGAAAGTTACGAACGTTGGAAGTTCGTATGCTTTTGATATTTGGTTGTGGTGACTATGGGAAGTTGTGGTGTTGACTCCATAAGGAGTACAGACTCTTGGGGGTTGGGAAATTCGTCAACATCACTGTAGATGCTGCCAAGTGGTTGGGAGGTGCCAAACCAGGTTGGCAAGTGTGGTCAAGTTGGGTGAGGTGGATGGCATGAGTTGGGAAAGTGACAAATGTCAAATTTGGGGTGCCTATAGAGAGGGGAATTGTGTGGTATGGGGTGTCCTTGGTTGGGGACTCCCTTGGGACCTTCCCTCTCGTCCTCCTCATCGCCTCCTACCTGGTTCTATTGCTACTCTAACTTTCTTGTGTGAACTTGTGAGATAATTGTGATTGAGTTACGTTTTCTATGGCAGCATACCCCCTAGTGCGCCGAAGTTCATAACTTGAGTTATACTCCATATTGTGATACTATTCAAATTGGGAAAGATAGCCACGGTCAAGGGCTACAACATACTCGAGTTTGAAAGAATTATAACTGTGGACCTTTCGTCGACGACGTTTCTTGTGAAGACGACTTTTCTGTCCAGAATTGTAGTTGACGATTTTGAGATATTTCAGCCCCTAATCTTCATAGACTCCGTCCTTAGTCTCTAACATCCTCCTCCGCATCCTCTTCTTCCTCCTCTTCCTCCTCTTCCTCCTCATCCTCCTCCATATCAGCCTCCTCCTCCTCCTCATCCCCCTCATCCCCCTCATCCTCCTCCTCCACATCATCAGGGTCTTCTTCGCCCAGTTTCGGCCTCTTCCCCCTCGCTGCTTGCGTGCCCCTCCTTACGCCGGCTGTTTTCCTCGCTCTGGGCCGGCTCTTTTGGCGCAATGCATGACCTGTCGCCTTGCCACTTGCTTCCCTGGTGCCTCGCGTTGTCCCAACTTCCGCACCACCGGCGTCGTCAGCACTGCCTTTCGTCTACCGCCTCTTTGCCCGCGTAGTGATGTCCCCAGCCACGGCGGTGTCATACTCTTCCTCCTCATCGCTCTTCCTCAGCCTTACGCCTCCCACGTCCTTCAGAAGGAGGAGAGCCACCGACGTCGGCGATGCCGTGTTTAGGATCCTCCATAGAATCATGCTCCCCCACCTTGTCCTTATCTACCACGGCAGCAGAAACCTCGACCACAGCCGGCTGGAGCAGCGTCAGATGGTGTTGCGATGGGTTGCGGCATGCTCGACGAGGGGAGTGTTGTCGTGGTTTCCCCCTATCGCCGAGCCCTCTCTCTCCGCCGACGGGACTGCAAGTCTCACGCTCCTTTGCTCCGGATCTTCATTGCCGCCGATGGTGCCGTCGTTAATCGGACCGGGCTCGGTTCCACCAGAGGCAACATCCGCATCTTTTTTCACGGTAGAAACACGCATGCGTGGCGTTGGTTGCTTCCCCTTGTCTTCCGCCTTCTTCCCGGACTTATCCTGTCCAAGCGCGGCCTGTTTTCCCGCAACCTTTTTCTGTTGACTGCCACGCACAGCGGACGCATTAGTAGCTTTAGATCCGCCACCACCCCCCGATCGGTCTGAAGAGACACCCTCATTGTCGCGCATCGTCCGGCCTGTTCCTCCTCCTTTTCTTTTTGCTGAGTCGCACGTGTCATGGTTGTAGTACGAATGCTAAATTCTAACATGCAGAACGGTTGAGCCAGTTTCCTAGGGGAACCGCAAATGAATGTAACGAAGGGAGACTCGACGGTCTATTCAATCATCTCTCTCCGAAAACCTCCGCTTCAATTAAAACTGAAATAGTAGTCACCAAGCACAGAGCTAAGGCTCACTAATTAGTCGATGGGTGAGTCAAGGGTGATCAGGAAACGCCTGTGTCAAACTGCGAGCAGCGTCAAAGCTGTGGGCCAGAGGGTGACGGAAGCAGGTGGGTGGGGCACAAGGGTGGTTGGGGTGGCTTGCGAGACTAGAGAGATGACTGTAATCAGATCAGGCTAGATCGGACGGTGTACATTTGACCACCCCAACATAAACCCACTCACCGCTCGATCACAGCCGCTTCAATGGCGGATGTACTGCTTGGCTGGTGCTTGTGTTGCGGGAGGGGTCGTTTGAGATGTGCCAGCCAATCACTGTTGCCAACGCATCATTCATGGCACATGCTAGAACGGTTTCTGAACCACTAGAGGGAATGTAACCTAAACCCTGCAAAGTACAGTGCTGACGCGAATGAACAACGTTGCACATACATGCTAAATAAAATTCAAAACTACAACAAATACAATCATAAAAAAAATGGTTGCTAATGTAATAGTATGGGGTTGTGGTAAGGTAGTGGGTTTGTCTCATGTCACACACACAAAGAGCGTCCATAACTTTTTCTTCTGACAATTGTACTAAACACACGTAGGCTATGCACTATGGTTACACGTCGTTGGACGATATTCTAACACGACGATCACTAATGTCAAACGGGAAACAGTTGTATTGGGCACAACTCTTGCATGGACCTTCAACAAGGTGCATAAAGGGAGTGGTATGAAGCACATAGCTAAAGCACAAGTGGTGATGCATTATCGACAGCCATGTTTTGACAAGGCGACGTCGCAACGTTCAGGCCCATGTGTTGTGCGATATGGTGAAACCGTTGTGGTATGGTATTAGATTGGCCTCAATTCTTGCGTGGACCTTTAAAAAGGTGCATAAAGGGGGTGGTATGAAGCACAGGACTATAGCACAAGCGGTGATGCGTTATTGACAGCCATGTTTCGAGAGGGCGACGTCGTAGCGATCAGGCCCATGTGTTAGGCGACAAGGTGAAACCATTGTGGTATGGTATTGGATTGGCCTCAATTCTTGCGTTGACCTTCAACAAGGTGCATCAAGGGAGTGGTATAAATAACAGGCCTAAAGCACAAGCGGTGATGCGTTATCGACAGCCATGTTTCGACAGGGCGACGTCGCAGCGTTCAGGCCCATGTGTTGCGCGACATGGGGAAACCGTTGTGGTATGGTATTGAATTGGCCTCAATTCGTGCGTGGACTTTCAACAAGGTGCATAAAGGGTGTGGTATGAAGCACAGGGCTAAAGCATAAGCGGTGATGCATTATCGACAGCCGTGTTTTGACAAGGCGAAGTCGCAGCGTTCACGCCCATGTGTTGCGCGACATGGTGAAACCGTTATGGTATGGTATTGGATTGGACTCAATTCCTGCGTGGACCTTCAACAAGGTGTGCAAAGGGAGTGGTATGGAGCAGAGGGCTAATGCACAAGCGGTGATGCGTTTTCGACAGCCATGTTTCGACAGGGTGACGTTTCAGCGTTCAGGCCCATGTGTTGCGCGACATGGTGAAACCGTTGTGGTATGATATTGGATTGGCCTCAATTCTTGCGTGGACCTTCAACAAGGTGCATAAAGGGTGTGGTATGACGCACAAGGCTAAAGCACAAGCGGTGATGCGTTACGGACAGCCATGTTTTGACAGGGCGTCGTCGTAGTGTTCAAACCTATGTGTTGCGCGACATGGTGAAACCGTTGTGGTATGGTATTGGATTGGCCTAAATTCTTGCGTGGAGCTTCAACAAGGTGCATTAAGGGAGTGGTATCAAGCACAGGACTACAGCACAAGCGGTGATGCGTTATCAACAGCCATGTTTTGACAGGGTGACGTTTCAGCGTTCAGGCCCATGTGTTACGCGACATGGTGAAACCGTTGTGGTATGGTATTGGATTGACCTCAATTCTTGCGTGGAGCTTCAACAAGGTGTGTAAAAGGAGTGGTATGAAGCACGGGGCTAACGCACAATCGGTGATGCATTATCGACAGCCATGTCTCGAAAGGGCAACGTTTCAGCGTTCAGGCCTATGTGTTGCAAGTCATCGTGAAACCGTTGTTGTATGTTATTGGATTGGGCTCAATTCTTGCACGGACCTTCAACATGGTCCATAAAGGGTGGGGTGTGAACCCAACAGCTAACGCACAAGCGGTGATGTGTTGTCGACATCCATGTTTGGACAGGGCGATGATGCAGCAATCAAGGGTTTGGTTTGCATCCAACGCTGAAACCGTTGTGTTATAGTATTGGATTGGGCTCAATTCTTGCATGGACATTCAGCACGGTGCATAGAGGTCCACTAAACCTCTAGAGAAGTGTTGATATACATATTTGGTTCATGCGACAATCTTACGTTAGGGCACGGAGTTCTTGGGTACTTCCCATATGTTTTCAGACCACACTAGAGAACGGGGAGGGTTTACAAACACTCACGTTGTCAATTAGGGGTTGGTTATGAGCAGGCCCTAAAGTATGGTTGTAAAATAATTGTAATTGAGTTGAGTTTCTATGTAAAATGTAACTGTACATTATCATTACCTGGTTTGGCTTAAGGCTCTAGAGGTGCGCACCACTTTGGGCTCACCTACGTGATTGCATTTTCCCACCTATAGCGACTCTCGGAAGAAAAACAGCACCAAACATATCTCTTCCCTCTCTTCCTCATCCCCGTTGACTCTCACGCACGATTCAAAAACCCAAGTTTTGAATCAAGAGGTACGTACTTCTCACCGTGCTCGCGACGCACACTCTCGACCAAGCGTGCTATACTCCAGTGCATTAGGCCCTGCTCACGTTGTGGTTGCTCTAAAAAGGGGCGACACGCCTTGTAGGAAAGGGAGATGTTGTGCTGTGGGCAGTCTGTATCTTGCCTTGCAACGGCCGCGCTGTTCGACCATCGTTAGCCAGTCCCTAACACTAGCACCATGCTCAAGTGCCAGTCGTGCAGAGATACAAGCCGCCATGGATAGTTCGCGCTTTGGCAATGGCCGTGATGCAGTCATAGCCTTCTTTGACCGTGTACTTTATGCGTTCACAAACTTCAAATTGGCTAGTTGCTTCATACTGCATTTCTCCACTCTTAGACGGATCCGTAACACATGGGCTCTTTGCCAGGCGTTGTCTGCGAGTTCTGCAACAGATGGTTCCCCAACGCCCAAGTTTGTGGCAGTTATAAGTTACGGCAGACCCCTTGTCAAGGGCTTTCCGCCATGGCAAGGCCCTCGCGATCTGTACCGTCTGCCGGTTTACACGCACTGCTATTCGTCCACAACATTCTCTCTGACGCTCCCGCTGCTCCCGCTTCACCTACCGCATCTAACGCATCCAACACCGTCAGTGTGAGCAGTCCTCCTCGCGTGCCTAAAGCTGAAGAAGACAAAACACCCTCGGCTGTGAAAGAGGGGGCTCCTGAAGATAAACATCTCCGGACAGAGCGATGCCACGCCCCTCAATCCGCTCTCGTTGAAGCTGCTGCATTTCGTTCGGCACGTGAATGGCGGTATGGGAATGGCGGAGGTTGACATCAATGGCCTGCTTCAGCTCGTGGTAGAGCCCGGCCTTGCGCCTCTTGTGACCTCGGAGCTCCGGAACTGCAAGGATCTGGAGCGGTTTGAGATGGAGCGCTTGGCAGGGCTCAATCGCGGATGGTCGGGGGTGACCTTCGAGATTGACGGTCATTCGCCACAGTGCCTGCTCTTCCAGAACTCAGCTCAAGTCAGCCGACTCTGAATCCTTGGCAGTGAAATGCTGATGCAGCAACCATGTGGTGCTTGCCGTATGTTATCTTCGTTATATTTGTATTAACCCTAGACCCACCTTCAACACCACGAACAATGCCCCTCTTCTCCCCTGCCTTTGCCACCGTACACCAGGCATTCGCTGAAATGTTTGGGCATCCCAACAACGCGCCCGGCTTCAAGCTCAAGGCGCGTGTCTATGAGGACCTTGACACAGGCGACCGTCGATATACCACGCTGGAAACAGGAACGTTGTGGAATGATGCTCAGGTAAGGAAATACCCCGTTGCCACCCAAAACTTGACCCGTGCTCATGCCTCCATTGCTGCACTGATGTGTCTAGAGCATCTTGAGTGTGTCATGTTCGTTGAACATGCTATGAAGGTGGTTTTATCTGCCAAGCGACAAGTTACCGTGTGGTGTTTGACCGTGTGTCCGTTGCCGCCTTGTCGTGCATTGCAGGAACACTTTGGATGGACCGAAGTCGTGGGGGGGATCATCCTATATCCGTACTCGGTTTGCATCTTACTATGTCGTCACCAAATCACCTGCATAGTATGCAAAGCGTCTCTGTATGTAGCAGTCCCCTTTGCCCCTTTTCGTACATGCACAAAGCCGTCCTCCGAATTCCTGTTGCCACTCTACCTGTTCCTTGCAGCAGGTTCTGTCTCAGGGACCCTTTCGGTGAGTTGCAAACCGTGCGGCCCCTGCTGTACGCCTGGATGTGCGACTACCCCGAGAGCGGCAAGATCAGTTGCACACTCTTGCATGGATCGCGGATGCCGTGCAGCATCTGCTATGCTGCAAAGGTGAGGTTACATGCCATGTGCGCACTTTCAAATACATTGTCCTTTGAATGTCGCCTGATAGAACCCATAAACTCACCACCCATACCTTTGTATCCCATCCCACACCCCCGTGCTACACCAAAAGCATCTTGTTGCTGTCAAAATACGGAACACGCCGCGCACGCCTGAACAGCAGCAATGGATCGTTAACGAGGCGGCTGGGATGACAACTAACCACGACA